TACTTCCTAAATCACTGACTTGTTTCACACAGAGCATGCACATAATTTATTGCTGATTTATTCCATGTGAGCACATGAAAGCAACCAGTATGTCTTTTATAGGTGATGGATGACAACCCTCACACATCCTTACAATGGAATTTGAGATCAATGAAAAACTGAGCGGGCCACAAATGTACAGGCAAAAGCTCACATGCTTAGTTTTCATTAAAGAAGCCAATGTAACAAGGCAGAGTTCTGAAAAGTGAGGGTGGTGGTGGGGGAGGCACTGATACCAGCCTCAGCCCAAGGTCACCATGTCCCCTGCATGCACCAATAGGCAGGGGTCTCCCCAATTCCTAAGCTGGGAGTTCCTGTCTCCCCTGTCTGGCAGGTGTTCTGTCTAACCCTCCCCAGTGTTTCTCAGCTGGTGCCCAAGCTTAACTGAAGGAGGGGCTTGCTCAGCCTCCTGAAAGGGGGAGATTTGCATGGAGACCTCCCACCCTGTGGATAAGGGTGACTCCTAAGGGAAGGTGAGCTCGGTCCTGCCTATGGGGCTCAGGAAGCAGAACCTGGACATCTCCATGGCCTGGGCTCAGCTTATTCTCACCCTCCTCACTCTTTGCACAGGTAGTGTGAGCAGGGAAATCTGGGAGGGCACCGGGGTGTCACCCCAGATGATGACCTCTCCCTCCTCCCCAGAATCAATGTCATATCCATCCTTGCTTAACTTTGGGTTGCTCCTTTACAGGCACATGGGCCCAGTTTGAGCTGACTCAACCCTGCTCAGTGTCAGAGTCTGGGTAGAGGTGACCATGTCCTGAACCCGCAGCAGAGGCAACATTGGAAGCGCCTATGTGCACTGGTACCAGCAGCGCCAGGCAGCCCCCCAGCACCGTGATCTATGATGACGACGATCATAGACCTTAATGGGTTCCTACAATTTCTCTGGTTCCATCGACAGCTCCTCCAGTGCCTCCTCCTCCCTGACCATCTCTGGGCTGTGGACTGAGGATGAATCCGACTACTACTGTCAGTCTTAGATACAGCAACAATAAACTCAGTGCTCCAGACCCAACAGGGCGTGAGACCAAAAGTCTCCAGAGCCTCCCAGACCTGGGTGTGCCTCAACCGGACCCTGCAGGGAGGGCTGCCCTTTACTATACCTCCTGCTCCAATGTTTGTTTAAGATTGGGTGTCATGAGTCCCTCTACCATCTTTTGTATAACCATCCCGGCACCTCCCAACACACACACATCTTGATGCATGGTTGCCTATTTCCTTTGCAATCACTTAATGGAAATGATTTATTTCATCAACATGGTGTCTGCACCTCTGCTCTACTGACAATGAGGGGTTATTCCTTGTGTGTGGAGGGGCTGATTTTGCAGGGAGGACATTGACAAGCATCTGTGCTCCACACAGCACAAGCCAGTGATGGCCCCTCTCCATGTCAGGAGACACAAAAAGCTGCTATGTGTTCGAGATCAGGGGAAAATACCACCACATTTGAGATCAACTCGGTTAAAAGCACACACTGGGATTTTAGGCCACTTTGGCTTTGAGTCCGTCTGTGCCATTCAGCTGCACGAGGAGGCACCTGTGAGCTCTCTGTGACCTGGCCCCGTGCAATAGACAGACAGCGCCGCAGCACTCAGTGAGGTCAGAGCCCGTGGCCTGATCCCATGGAGTCTTCTCTCAACCAGAGAGTGGAGTTTATGAAAATATGTGGCTTTTAGAGGAGAAACCAGAAGTGCAATCAATAAAAAGTAAGAGACTAACTGTGATCAAAGATAATTCATTCTTCTTCATTTGAAACGCATAAGCGAGTAAGGAATACAATTAAATTACCTAAAGAAAATAAGATGAAGTCAGTTTAATAGCAAGTAGCTATTCTTTAAGTCACCTGAGCTTGGGAACACTGAAAGTAGGTGTCTGTTCTATGTTGCACTCCAGAGGAGGGACTTGACGCTTGCAGTGCCCTCCATGGTTGTATCAACAATATAAGGTATCATTTCTGAGTATGTTTATATATCTACAGATCAGGATTCCTTCAGAGATGAGAGAATCAACAGCAGCCATGGGCAGTTGGGACACACTGTCTAGGAATCACCCCTGGGTGTGTGACTAGAGACAGTGACCTGGTGGCTGCAGACCCCAGCTGTGCTCAGAGCTTTGGCCACTGAGCCCATGTGCATTGCAAGCAGCAGGGGGCGCTGTGGGGCTGCCCAGTGGTGCCCCCACCAGCTGTGCAGGGAGGATCATTCACTCAGAGGAGCCTGGACTTGGGGGCAGGCCCTGGGCTCCCTGGTGGGCTTTGTCATCTGTGGCATCACAGTCCCCTGGGCCAGGAACTGTGTGTGGTGTCAGCAGGTGCTTCCTCCTAAGATTCTCCCAAGGGGTGAAGCAAACCTCCCTCCTCCTCAGTGTGAAGTGTGACCTGAGCTCCAGTCCCAGTGCACAGAGGGCCTGGGCGGCCCTGGAAAGAACACAGTTTCCATGGACAGCCCCTCCTGGGGCAGAGGGTGGGAAAGAAAAGGAGGCCTGGGGCAGCCCTTCCTCTGTGGGGCTCATGGGAAGGGGAACTAACAGGCGGCTGTGGGCACCATGGCCAGCTCCCCTGCCCTCCCTGTCCTCCTCTCTATTGCGCGGGTAATTGGACATGGGACGGGGGCAGGGACTGGAGAATATGCACGGGGCCCCACTTCCTCCTCTTGTCTCTAGAGCCAGGGTCACCTACTCCTCACCTCTCATGGTCCAGGATCCTGGGCCCAGTCTGTGCTGGCTCAGCTACTCTCAGTGTCTGGGACCCTCAGCCAGAGGGTCACCACCTCCTGCAGTGGAGGCGGCATCAACAGCAGGAATCATGGTGTGCACTGGTACCAACAGCTCCCTGGAACAGCTCCCAGGGAAGTGATATATGGCAACCACAAATGAACATCTGGGGTCCCTGATCGATTCTCTGGATCCAGGTCTGGCACCACAGGCACCCAGACCATCTCTGGGCTCCAGCCTGAGGACGAGGCTGATTATTACTGCTCAAGTTGGGATGACAGTCTGATGGTCACACAGCGCTCCTGGCCTGTGGGAAAGTGAGAAACAAAGCCCCTTTCTCTTCTGCCAAGAGCAGGCACCCCTGGCAGCTGCTGCTGAGGCTCAGCCTGGGGCTCTGCTCCTTCTTGCTGCTGTCCTGGCCCAGGCTCCTCCAGCGCTCCCCCTGGGGCAGGCCCCTCCCTCCCTCTGTCCTCAGAGTCACTCCCATAAGCACATCCTAGGTGAGGGGCCTCCATGGAAAGATAGTCCTTGTCCTCTCAGGTTAGGGATAGTTATGTTCTGGCTGGTTTATATAATATTTTTCTTATTAAATCAGAAATTGGAATCATAATCTGTTCCCCTGAATGTATCAGGTGACCTCTCCCCCCATGTTGTGCTTTCAGGATACCATCCCTGCTGCTGCAGTCACTATTGTGTATCTGACTTTTCCTAGTAGGGGTTATTTGTATCTGTTTTCTGATTTTTTTGGGAAGAGGGTATCAATATGAAATTAAACATTAATATAAATGAGTCAAAGACACAATGTCCACAGCAATTTGCCATGACTGCACAATAATCAGCAAAAAAAAAAAAATCAGAAATCGGCACACTATATTTATTACAGATTTAGAATAATCACCAAAACTATACAGTCAAATTACATATGTATGTGTATATAGATATACACACATATAAACATTCCTACACACACACACAGATATGTCCTGAGAATTATATTGCTTAGAAAAAGAAAATGAGAGAAATGTTAACAAATTGTGAGTTGCTAATTGTATCCTACTTTGAAGAACCCTAATTCTGTGGAGGGAAAAATTACCAGTACCAACAGGAATATAGAGGAACAGAAGAAAAATTGAAAATGTGAGCCCTGGAAATTAGTTTTAGAGCAGTGGGATTATTCTACGCTGATGTGGTGTTGATTAAATGACCCTACGGAAATACAATAACACCGGGCAGCAGCAGCAGCAGCAGCTCAGACACTTCATGGGGCGCAGACACATCCCTGAGCCTTGTGGCTCCCAGCTCAGGAGCAGCCCGTCTCCTCTGGGCCAACAGGCAGCTCCATTCCTCTGTCTGTCCAGTATCGTGTCCTCTGCTGCACAGCAGTCCCTACGCTCTCCTGTGTCATCTCCCCGTTGGTCCACCAATCCAACACTTAGGCCAAGCAGGAGGACACCAGGCCCACTCCCCTCCCTCTCAGTGAGGGTCACTCTCAGAAGTTGGGTACACAGGAGTCTAGGAAACAACTGAGGGTGAAGTTTGGTTGAAGAAAGAAGACTTGAAGTTTCTCCCGGAGACTAACAAGGGGCGCCATAAAAACTTCCCTGGGTGTTTCTGCAACTCAGGATCTTCCGGCTGGGCAGCCCTGCACTGAGAGGAAGGCCCCAGGGCTGGGCTTGGCTTCCTGTGGGGACTCAGCAGCCCTGTTCTCAATAGCCCAAGGGTCTGTGCATGGACCTGGCATTTGCTTCTTCCCAGACCCACGCATGGGGAAGCCAGTACCTCATACAGCCTCCCTGTCTAAGGACTGCAGAAATTGAAAGTGCAGTGGGGAGATGCAGTGGGTAGCACATGTTTGCCTGGACAGCCCCTCCCTGTGAGGCAGTGGGGAGGAGATAAGAAGGGTCTGGGGCCTCCCTGGTGGCGCAGCAGTTGAGTGCTGCATTGCGAAGCTGCCCGCAGCCTCTGCAGCGCTGGTTCAATCCCTGGCCACCCGGCGTGTGTCCCACATGTTGGGCAGACCTCTCCTGCCACACCTGCTGCTCCCCTCGGTAGTGTACTTTGGTCCTTCTGCCTGTTCTGTCCCTGCTCTGGCTCTGGTGAATTCTCTCACCTTCCTGCGCTTCTGACTATACCCAGTGCTTGTATAAATAAATAAATAAATATTTTTTTAAAAAAAAAAAAAAAAAGAAAGAGAGGTCTGAGGCAGCTTGTTCAGAGCTGTAGGAAGCCAAGGGGCTGTAAGCACCATGGCCTGGACCCCTCTCCTCCTCCTGTTCCTCTGTCACTGCACAGGTAGAGACAGGACTCAGAGACCCAGACTGTCCCTATCCTGAAGCATTACCACTGGGCTCCACACCCATCTAGGACTTATTTTCTCTTGCATGTGTCTGTGTCTGCAGGTTCCCTCTCCCAGCCTGTGCTCACTCAGCCGCCCTCCCTCTCTGTGTCTCCTGGAGCAACAGCCAGACTCACCTGCACCCTGAGCAGTGGATTCAGTGTTGGCTCCTATACTATATACTGGCACCAGCAGAAGCCAGAGAGCCCTCCCAGGTTCTTCCTGTACTACTACTCAGACTCAGATAATCACCAGGGCCCCGGGGTCCCCAGCCGCTTCTCTGGAGCCAAAGATGCCTCGACCAGTGCAGGCCTCCTGCTCATCTCGGGGCCGCAGCCTGAGGACGAGGCCGACTACTACTGCAACATATGGGATGGTAACTCTAATTCTTCACAGCGCTCCAGACCCAGGGGGAAGTGAGACAAAAACCTCCCCACTGCTCTGCTCTGCTCACAAAGGGAGCCTGGGGGGACCTTCCACACCCACATGGGTGGGCTCTCACCCTGCACAGACAGAGCCTCATACACATTCCTCAGCCCTGGGAGACCCTCAGGGTCTGGGCCTGTCCATGTCAGCAGGGACCTGGGCCCACAGCGCCCAACCCTTGATGCCCCAGGTTCAGTTCCCAGCTCCAGGGAGGACTTAATCTTTGACTCTTCATCTTCGAATGACCGGTCAGGGATCGTCTCCTTCATAGGTTTGGGGGATTAAATTATGTCATCATGTGAATTATTTCATGTGCGGCCCCCACAGCTGCCAAATTCATTGTCCCCACTCACCCACCTGTTCTAGGAGCAGACACCCCAGGATGGCCTCTTCCCGATCCTCCTTGACTCCTGCTCTTTCCCTTCCCCCCGTTCCATGACTTACCCGTCAAGGCAGGGAATGTAAAGAGAACTGGTTTTCATTTGAAAAACTCCTGATTAAAACCCAGGATCTATCAGATACGGGACGGTCGTGATGGACAGGGTGTGAATCTCTGGGTGTCAGCGCGGGTGTCTGCAGCCCTGACACGGGTTCTCCCCTCTCTCCCTGGGGACGGGGACACGGGACATGGAGACACACATGGCTCAGCGTGGTGATAAGATTGGACAGTGCTGACCCCATCCTGACCGCGAATGCCCACTGGGCTCTCCTCTCACATGGGCCCAGGCCCCTCTATTGTGCCGAGAACCTGAAGGTGAATCCCAACCACTGGGACGTTGTGGACTCCAGGGGAGAAGCCCTGTGGGTGCAGACATGAGCAGAGTTGGACATTTTTGCAGATTTCAATGATGTTCTCATCCAACCCATGGGCCCCTAGGGGCTGCCAACTGTGCTAAGCGGGCAAGGAGAGATGAAGACCCGCAGACTGTGCATCTGTGAAAAGAAGGGGAAAGCAGTGTGTCCTCCAGAACTTTGTCTCAGCGTCCTCCTGTGTGTGATGTGGAGAGGGTGGGGGTGGAGAAAACTCTCAGGTGTTACAGCTTCATAAGCAAAGTGGCCCTTGGTTTGAGTGACTGGAATACTCTGCAAAAATGAGGTTTCTTATAATTCCAGTTCACTTATTTCTATTCCATGTTCATGTCTAACTGAACATGTTCCATGTTCAGTTCTTCATGGTATTTATTGATTAAGGCCTCTGATACATTTTCCTTCTGGCTCTTATCTCTACACTCACCTCTGTCTCCTCAGAATTTTTCTAGTTTCTTGTGACTGTGACGATGGAGTCTGAACAGCACCCCAGTGCTCCTCCCTCTTCCTGACTGAGTGTTGGGGTCTCCAATATGGCAGGGGCTCACAGACTTGCTCTTGGTCCCTTCTGGAGAAGACAGAGGCCTGGCCTCCCTTTCCTCCCTGCAGAGCCCACTCACCCCAAGACCTTCTACAACTCCGATGACACGGAGTATCTCTACTTGTTTGGGCCCTTTGCACAGGTGGGATGTTGACATGCAGTGAGCTGAGGCTGCTGTACAGACACCTTGGCTGTGGGTCTAGAATGTGAGGGGTGCTAGGTGCAGAGGGTGAGCCCTGAGCCCGCACTGACCAGGATGCCCACGTGTCCAGTAGCAGAGTCTGCTGTGTATAGACCTTGCTCATGGCCCCACAACTGAATGCCTTGAGAGCTCCCCTTGTGCTGCAGAGGTCCCCCAACCCTACCAGGTGTAACACATTTCCTACCACTTCTGGTCTCTCCTCATTCAACTGGATCCTGATTTAAGTAGAGGAGGAGCTTGTGCAGCCATCAAAAAGTAGGGTATTTGCATGGAGTTCTCTCACCTTCAGGAGGGGACATATAAGACTGCTGGGTGGGCTCAGGTCTGGTGTGGGGTCAAGAATAGGACCTGGGGGGCATCACCCCCATGACCCAGGCTCCCTTCCTCCTCACCGTAGTTGCTCTCTGCACAAGAGCTGCATACGAGGAATTCTGGGAGATGACACCTACGTTGAGAACAGGCACTGCTATTGTTCATTGCACAATCGTTTAGGGACATTATAAATGTCTGTACCTTCCAGAGTATAGAGCAATGCAGTGATCTGGTGCTGAGGATTCTTGTCACATTCAATGAGGAGTGAGAGATGAGGGATAAAGTGGAATGCCAGGGACCAGCCTCGGCAAAATGTCATGTCAGGGATTCCTGAAAGGATGAGATGGCCTAGGCAACACGTTAGGGCTGTGGGGAAGGGGATGAGGTAGTGAGGAGACACTGACACAGGATGAGGTGCAAGTATCTTCTGCCGAGAGAGGCTCAGCAGGTCCTTTATTTATACATTTTTAGCAAGCTGTGAGATTACATTATCATGTGCATAGAAACAAAGCAAAACAATCAGTGCATCCCTTTTCCCATAGACTTTTGGCCACTATGTGCTCTCAGCAAGAAGGCAAACTTCAAGCTTAATAAAAACCTAAGCCTTACACTAGAACTCATTGTTTCAGCTAAACAATTACCTAAGACAGTGGATAGCCGCCAGTCCATCCCTATCAGCCAAAGCCTGAGCAAGAAAAGGCTCCTCTTATTCGCATGACCTTCAGCAGGGGACCGGCTGCTACTCAGCTATCAGAACTTTTTCTACCTAGAAACTCCTAACTCAAATAGCTTCATCTGAAAACTTTCCCAAGAAACTTCAAAAGAAGGCAAAAGAAGGACCTACTATAATTGTTGTGCTGGATTGTCAGGCATGTACAATAAATTGTCTCCCACAGTCAAGTGGGCCAAATTGTCATAACTAATTTCTAAACAGACAATTATTCATGCCATTTACTTACAGTATGCTGATATGTATAATTTATTGCCTAATATAATTTCTGATAAATTTTTCTCTCTCTATGAGCAAGAACAAAGAGCAAAGAATGCCAGATCTTTAGCCCCACGTGTGAGGCCCTTTAGCTTGGGCCCCATGGTGTGAGGCCCTCTCTCTTAGCTGCTTGTCAGTATCCTATTTGGCTAGGGCAGCAAGGCCCCCTGCAGCAGAGGAAGATGTAACACCTTGAGTCTTATTGATGTTGCTTGAGGTAGGATGAGATGTGAACCAAGTTTTGGATTATTTGCATAGTATTTCCTTCTATAAAACTGCTCACAGTATCATTATCAATTCTGTTTTACTGTCCGGGACGATAGGGGTGTGTGCTGTGAATGGTCCACGGTGTCTGACGCCCAGTGTCTTCACCATGATCCCAAGCCAAGCCCTCCCCTGCCCCTCAAAGAGGGGCATCACCTTGGGAACCATAGAAAGGGCAGGAGTCAGGGTTGTGAAGCCACGAGTGTGAACGATGCTGGAGGTCTGAGAACAAGGAAGGGTGTGAGGTGTGTGAGGGGACAGGGCAGACCCTGCAGGCTCCTGAGGGGAGGCAGGAGGTAGGGTTCATGCCCAGAGCAGTGAGGGTCTTGAGGGGGTGAGCAGCTACTGACCTGCCTGGGATGACAGGGGAGGATCCTCTGAATGACTGAGGAGAGAATGTGAGATCACAGGTATTTGCTCAAGACCCCCAGAGTCTAGAAGTTTGGGGACTTTCTCAAGGTGAAAGCAGAGTAGAAAACGGGTGTGGTGAGGAAATGGGTTGCGGTTTCTGAATTCAGCTCTCCTCACATTCCGGCTACCTGAAAACATTAAACTCTCACTTTTATTTGTTATTTAAACTGTCATAATGAGTAAATCATACAGAAAAAAAATTTTATTTAAAATAAAAACAAATTGTATGTGTCCTAAGAAAAAATTCTAACAAATTATACGACACAGATATTGCAAAATCCAGAATCCTAGGATTACAAAGCTCCATATGGAACTCAAGATATATGTTACAGGCTTCACTGGCATGAAGTTTTCCAAAGACTTTCACTAAATCATTTCTAATCTGTAAACAATATTAAATACATTATGTATTTTCAAATTTTTGCAGAATTACCAACTTTTCAATATGCCATTGATATCATTTCTAGGAATTTCCATTCTGTGACATTTCCCTGAGTTTTCTCTAAAGCCGTTCATAGCTCAAGCAGCCCATCCTCAATAGCACAGATTTGATGCACTTCTGGATCATTTAGCTTTTAGTATAATGTTCTCAAAATACTTCTGTAAGTACCTCTTTGCACCTCATTGACAGTACCCAAATACGATGTAAGGAAATCACAGTCCTAGGAACCAGAACATGCAATTGTGAATAGAGACATTTTCTCCTGAGATGCAGACACCAAATGGGCTCTTGGAACTTTGGGCGAATGTGAGTGTTTGCGCAGAGACCAGCAGGGGGCGCTGTAGGACTGCCCAGTTTCTACAACCACCAGGCAGTGAAGTCATTCACACCAAGGAGCTTGGCCTAGCTCTAGGCCCTGTGCTCTCAGGTGGGCACTCAGCGCTGTGTTCCTTCTTGTCTGGCACAACTGCTGAACAGGGACCTGTGTGTGGTGGCAGCAGGTGCTTCCTCCCAGGGTTTTCCCAGGGGTGAAGAAACCCTGCTCTTCCTGAGTGTGGGTATGAGCTGAGCTCCTGCACCAGGGCTCAGGGAGGGGCTGGGCAGTCACAGCTTGAAGCACATTTGCATGCACAGCCCCTCCTGGGGCAGAGGGTGGAGGAGAAAAGGAGTCCTGGGGCAGCCCAGCCCCATGTGGGCTCAGGGAAGTGTGAGCACCATGGCCTGGACCCCTCTCCTGCTTGTTCTCTTCTCACACTGCACAGGTAACAGGAGTTGGGGCTGGGAAGTGCCCTGGGAAGATGCATGGGCCCCAGATAAGTCCTCTTGTTTCTAGAGCCCAGCATCATCATCTTTGTGTTTCTCCTTCCAGGATCCTGGGCCCAGTCTGTGCTGACTCAGCCACAGTCAGTCTCTGGGAATCTGGGCCAGAGGGTCACCATATCCTGCACTGGAAGCAGCTCCAACATCGGGGGTGGTAATAGTGTAAACTGGCTCCAACAGCTCCCCCGATCAGCCCCCAAACTCCTGA